AATATCAGCTCAGTGGAAACCAAACCCATCAAACCCAACCCAGCCTTCTTTACGCAAGTTACTGCCATGCCATCAAAACATTACAGCATAGTACTGACTCAGCACTGAGAAACACTTCTGCTCAACAAAACCAAAACACCAACACTTCTGAATTATGATATTTCCCATTGAGCCACTAAATTATTCAAATAATACATAATTAATTAAAATAACTTTTAGCTACAAATAGGTGAGCCAATGTCACAAAATAGCTCACACTTTAGTCCAAAATCAAAAGAAAAGAACAATTACTTTGCATTTAGAAATGCTTATTTTTATTTATATTTCTCGTTGTAATACTATTTCTTGAGTATTTTTTACTGCACCACTTTTCTACAAATCTACACCATGCAAGGCCAGTTTTTATATTTTATGTTTACACTATTCTGTCACCACACATTTACACACACTTTGTTTTTCCTCCTTTTTTAAATCTTGTATGGTATATTTTGTTCACGACTCATTCATAATTATGTCCGACTGAACTCTATTTCAGCTCTATCCGTATCTGTGTGACTGCGACACTAGACTATAGAGATGTAGAACTCACTCTAAAGACATGTTTGCAGTTTGCATCAGTCTTTCTGAATTATAACAACTTCTAATGAAAATTCTCTCATCATTTACTCAACCCTCATGTTGTTCCAAACCTGTCTGAGTTTCTTTCTTCTGTTGAACACAAGAGAAGATATTTTGAAGAATGTTGGCAACCAGTCAGTCGCTGGCACCCATTAACTTCTATAGTATGGGGGAAAATACTATGGATGTCAATGGGGACCATCAAGTGTTTGGTTACCAACGTTCTTCAAAATATCTTCTCTTGTGTTCAACAGCAGAATTTGTGTGTGAACTATCCCTTTAAATACTAATAGGACCTTTCCTTTACTAAAACAAAAACAGCAAGTCTAAAACATTTTAAACATTAAATCTCCTAATCAAGTCATATGCAAAGCATGCTGGGAACTAGAAATCCACTGCTTAATTTTTAAAGTTACAACAACAGAAATTTCAGTTTAAATTACACCCATTATATTAAGATAATATAATCAATTAGTCATTAATTATAATTATGTTAACAGAACCTATCAAAATAAGTACTTCTATTCTACTTCTATTTAGTTCAAAGTTCTATTAACTTTGTGATTATGATAAATTATTACTTTGACTGGAGTAATATTTCATTACGGGGATTTAATCTTAAATGAATGATTTGTGTACTTTTGTTGACATCCAACGTGACCATGCCAAATCCGAAAATGGCATCTTTGATTTAAAATAGCCTTGCGTCTTATTCCAGCGAGCGCTGAAGTGACGTCTCCGAGCAAACACAGCTGTGAGTGACATGAGGCACTTGAAAGTAATGGGTTTGGAAGTCCAAACGGCTCCTTTTCAGTGTCAAAATCAGAGCCACGGGTCACAAGATTTCCAAGTGTTTCCATACACACTGAATTCAAGCGAGTTGCATAATTCACTACAGCTGGACGTCAGACTACATTAAACTGCAAAACAGCTGTAATCACACGCAAGCAATAATATCATTTGATTCAACAAAACTGTGTCAGCCCCTCCATTACAAACGGTCATGAGATGTCTAATTAAACACATACTCATAATAAATGAGCTCCACGTGTGACTTAATGCAAGTCATACGGTGCAACCTTTTGACATGTGACCAGTTTTGGCTGGCGCTCTAATCTAGTAGCTTAAAGAATCTGATGTTGTGTGCACTCGTCAGTCAGAGATAAGAGATGCTCTACATTTCAAAGTCTTCAAGGTCACAAGATGATTTCTCAAAACTCAAATAGATGCTTCCTCGTTTCCTCGCTCCTCTGTCCTTCAGTCTGTCACGCATAAACTGATCTTAAAGGTCCCATATTGTACACCTTTCTGGAGTTTTATTTTAGGATTTGATGTCCTTAAGAATATATAATTGCGGTATAAGTACCAAAAACCATCTCAATATATTTTTACAGCTCCTTTCTCAGGAGCTCTGCTGAGAACAGGTCGATTTTGGCCTGTCTAATTAATATTCATGAGCCTCTCTTCTGATTGGCCTGTTGTTTTCTGAGTGACGCATGGCCAGGCCAACCACAGGTAACTAGGGTCAGCCGATGGATGAGTAAATTATGACAGAACACTCATTTTTGGTTGAACTATCCTTTTAACCGCCTAAATTAGCTTAGACCAGCTACAAACCATGTAAAAGCACCAACCACCTTGAGCTGGCTTTAGCTGGATTTTCCAGCAGCTCATTTGGCCTCTGTATCTCATCTGCTCCACAAACAGAGACATTTCCAGGTTCACGTCCTAGATTCCCTCCGCTGCCAGTTACACACACACACACACACACATAGCGATGTGTGTTCGCAAGGCCCACCCTCAAATCCAGCCAGACTCCACTTGCCATAAACAAATGACTGAAGATAAATGAGCACCTGGTGTCCTCTCTCTCTCCTTCTCTCCCCCCCCCCCCCCTTTTCCCCCGTGGGACGGTGGGCGGAGCTCTGGTGGCGACTGAAGGCGGTGACTGTGTAGTTCTGACCTCAACTTTTTACGGAAGTCACAACGGTTCGTGAAAAATCACAGCTACTTTATGCAGGCTGTGTGCATTTTACTGTGGACTGACTGTTTTGAAACGTATATGGTAGTTACATAGAATCTAGACCTCAGTTATCATGAAAAAAGCCAGGAAATTTCAGTTTTGACAATATGGGACCTTTAAAGGACGCTCTCCTTTCTCTTACTGCACTGCGAGGAAGCTTCCTGAGGCGCTGTAGGAGCATTTGTTGTAGAAAAACTAACCCCGTTCATCTGTCACAACGTATGTTTTACTTTTGCAGTTCAAATAAACCTTACATTTGACATATATTTCAACCGGGCATCTTGCTTTTTTAACCCTCATGTTGTGCCATTTTGACCCAGAGAGGATTTTTCTTTTTTCCTGAAAATGCCAGTTAATGTTATTGCATTGGACTAAAGCTTGCTGACTTTTGATTACACGGGGTATAACAACTTCCCTAAAAATTGGCTTATTTATTTTTTTATCAATTAGCACAGTTTTTTTTTTAATTATTTTTGGAACTGACTGTTCATAGGCCTCATTGATCTGAGCTTGCACACCAGTTATTGAGCAAAAAATAAAAAATAAAATAAAAAATAGCCTAATTTGTGGATAATTCTGGCAATATTCACTCATAAACGGAGGTGCCTAAGCTCAGATCACTACATTTTCAGAACTTTCAGCACAGCACAAGGGTTCATTTTTCTTACGAATTTCCTAAAAAACCAAACCAAGCGATCAAAAGTCCAAAATACGAAGAAACAGTCCTGCGATTCCTCTGTGCTCAGCTTCATTCCTTGTGTACTTTCATCACATCTTACTTGGAGACGAGTGTGAAAAGTAAACAAGGATGCACAATTTAAGAAATAGGCAAAAAGCTAAATTTTTCACTCGCCTTTGCTTGTTATAAACGTTTAATTACTGAATGTTTTTCTGCTCCGACAAATTCAATGATGCAACTAAGATTACTCAAATACTTCTGTCATTGTTTCCCTGCTTAGTTAGAAGCAAATCTTGTATGTGTCCCTGCAGCACAAAAGCAGTGTTGAGTCGCTGGGGGATATTTGTAGCAATAGCCAACAATACATTGTATGAGTCAAAATTATAGATATTTCTTTTATGCCAAAAATCATTAGGATATTAAGTAAAGATCATGTGCCATGAAGATATTTTGAACAATACCTACCGTAAATATATCAAAACTTAATGTTTGATTAGTAATATGCATTGCTAAGAACTTCATTTGGACAACTTTAAAGGTGATTTTCTCAATATTTAGATTTTTTTGCACCCTCAGATTCCAGATTTTCAAATAGTTGTATCTCAGCCAAATATTGTCCGATCCTAACAAACCATACATCAATGGAAAGCTATTTATTCAGCTTTCAGATGATGCATACATCTCAATTTCGAAAAATTGACCCTTATGCCTGGTTTTGTGCTCCAGGGTCACAAATGTGTCATATTTCCTGATTTAGAGATCTACATTTGTCTTCCTTTCTGAAGCACACAAGATGCTCTTTGGAACACTCTCTAATCATGCCGGACCACATTAACATTCTTAAATCCATGTTCATTTTTCAATTAATCCTTTTCTCAAATGTTAGGCTGACGATATGAGTTGTTCTGAGATTTCTGTTATATTAAATAAATGCATAAAAAACATTTTCACGAGTAGTTTGGACATCCACATGCAGCTTCCATATTTCCACAAAGCCACAGACACAATCACAAACCCGACTATAAATAAATCTATCCATGCACAACTTTGTATTTACACTAAATATTAGCACAATGCATTGCATGCATCATAAAGCAGCAGGTTCACTTTGAAACATACCGAACGTGATGAATTAAAATCAGCTAAGAGAGTAAAAAAAGCATCAAATTAAGCCTTATGAAGAATCAACATTATAATAGCACTTGACAACTTCTTTACTGTATCATAAACACAAACAGATGATGCAACTGGCGACCATCACATATCATTTAAAGCTACAGCGCGTTTAAACTCACCTGAAAAAAACCTGGAGATAAACCTCACATACATTGGGGAAAAGGAGCTCAAACACGGGGAGAATGTCTTCCTCCCTTCGCCGATAATCTTCCTCTCTCTCGCTCAGGGGACTGAGTTTCTCATGAGAGCCATTACTGCGGCGTCATCAGAAGGCGACACGCTTCTCGCAGATCTTTAGAACATCCGCGTTCTGAATCTGAATACGGCGCATGATGTTGACATCGCATATTCTCATACAGGAACACGCACAATAATAATAATTTAAAAAATAATCGTTTTTGTCAGGTCGTACTGAATAGAGCTCGGTCGACAAGATAATATTTGCGGTGATTAAAAAAAAAAAAAAAAGAGCTCCACGCTGAATTTATAAAATAAAGGCCGGCGGTTTCCCGGATGTTGTGGAAAACTAAGGCCTGATTCTTCTACTACACGCGTGTAAAACATCTCTGCGCGTTTAGGAGGCTGAGAAAGTGTGTCTGGATGAGCAGAAGCCATGTTTGGCTCATCGAGGTCTGGAGGGGTGAGAGGGGGTCAGGACCAGTTCAACTGGGACGATGTGAAAGTGGATAAACACAGAGAGAACTATTTGGGTGAGTATCGAGCTAGCAGCGCTAGCAACTCTTGTGTGACCCATATGTGAAGCGATCAAATATGCGATTATGTTCATATAAGCACGACTTATTTTGCACTTTACACACTTGAATTAATTAATAACTGCACACTAGAGCTTTAGTAACTGGTTGTTTGTGCTAATATGTTGTTGCTCACAGGCTGGTAAACCTATCTAAGAACGCTTAAGGGAATGGTAATAGTGAGTACTTGTGTAGCTTGACTGCATATTGCTAATCTATAGTGGCAGGTTGTCCTCTGGGTTGACGGTGTATTAAAGTTTCCCTCATCTGTAGTGTAAACGCAGACATTCCTACCTTTCTCCTTGGCGTGATCTCTCATCACATCGTCTGCTTGTTTAATGTGGCTTTTGTAGGTGTAGACGTGTTGAACTTTCTAGTTTAGGTATCAGAGGGCATGAGACGCATGCTTTACAAAGCCTGCTATGGCGAAGGCTGAGCTCATGAATATTAATGAGGTCGCGCGTGCTGGAGCGCGAGCCAGGTCTATGAATATTTAATGTGCCGTGCTGACGTCACAGTGAGGCCTACTGGGCAAACGTGACTCGACCTATTTAATATTTATAAGAAATATTATCTTCTTTTTTTTTGCCCAGACATTCAACTGAACTTTAATTTTATTTACATAGCTGCTTGCTTATGTTGTCTCTCAGTCAGAAGGTCAGTGTGAGTCTGGTATATTGATTCTGCACTTCCATGCAGGGTTGTTATAGTAAACTAAAACTGAACTAAAGTTAAAACCATTAATATATATATATATTTTTACTTTAAATAAAATAATCGTTAACTGAAATAAAATATAAAAAGCTTTTAATTTCAAAATGACAAAACACAACAACTAATAGTTTTTATAAAATAAATAAATTCGTTTTTATAAATTATATATATTTTATATTAAGCTCTTTATTAAACACTTAAATATAATTTTTTGGAATAATATGTCAATATATGTTTGTAGGACTGTATTATGATTATTTTCATGACAATTAAGCAAATTTTCCCCTAAATTCTTATTACCATAATGCAAATAAATATAATTCTCATTACAGGAATGCACGTAAATTAAATGCAGCACAACCACTGATCTATAACAGAGAACATCAAATATATAAAGCTTTTTATTGCAGCTAGTTGCCAAGGCAACATTTATCATTTACACACGCACACACACACACACACCACACCACACATACACACACAGGGCCGTTCTCTCACACATATGCACACACACACACATGCACACACACATTATCTCTCACACACACACACACACATGCACACACACATTCTCTCACACACACACACATTCTCTCTCACACACACATGCACACACACACATTCTCTCTCACACACACACATGCACACACACACATTCTCTCTCACACACACACATGCACACACACACATTCTCTCACACACACATGCACACACACACACTCTCTCACACACACGCACACACACACACAC